GCGCAAGAGCAAACGCGGCAAATTTGAGGGAAGCTACGGGGCCCCGTGGAATTAATAATGATGAAAGAGCGAAGGGACAGAGTCGAGTACGCCGCAACCGTATAAGTCACGATGCCCCATTATGCTTATGAATATAAATGCACCCTTGGGGGGTAGCCGCAATAAATGCTGGCCACGCGGATCTCTGAATTTTGTTGGAAGCCCGCGTCCGAGCACACGCGGTGCCCGCGGAACAATCTAAATAAAAAGCATCGTCGAGCCGCCTGCCAGTTTTTCTTTCTTTCTCGCCATCCCCTCCCTCGAACCCTGCCCATGCGTACTTTCCTCCCTTTACTTTTTCTCTCGCTTCGTCCACGAACAGCACAACGTGGCGGCTGGCATAAAAGAATAATTAAAATAAAATAGGCTCCGCGTAATTCTGCTGAAATTACACGCAACTACAATAACTGTAACAACGAAATTGTTAATAAGGGAGCGGTACCCGCGCCCGATTCTGAGTAATTGCGCATTCAAAAAATATTGTAAAATACGAAACCGAGAATTTAAACGCGAAAAGTCCAATTTTGTAACATCTCCAATCATTTTACTTTAGGTGGCATTAAGTTTGTAAATCCTTGAGGATTTTCATTTGAAACGTTATCCGTAACAATTGTTTAAATAGGTTAGTTTTTACTGAGAAACACGACATTTCTATTCTTCTTGGAAATGTGTTTTTGCAATTCATATTTCTCTTTCTAGGAAATAATGATATTACAATGGTTTCGTTTTGTACTGTATGAATCTTGCACAGGAATGTATACACTTTATTTTAGAATAAAAACAATTGATCTCAATTTATTATAATTTTAAATACAGGTAATCGAAAAGAACCAATTTTAGTGTGTAGTTATCGTAAGCTTTTGGAATAGAAAATGGATAGGATTTCAGGGGTATGTCTATTGACCAAAAATAATTGTAATTGACCCCTGCAACCGAAAATAATTTTTTCAGGACGATTTGAAACTTCTTTTTTTCGTTGAAAAATTTAGGCCTACTCCTGTCGACTTTTCTTTAAAATTCGTTTTTTATGTGTAACTAATTTGGTTGACGTTGTACGGAAAAGTTGTCTAACACTTTTTTGTAGGTATCCATGAGTTCTAGTTCCATGCTAAATTTCAATGAGATATGTTCACTATTGTAGGAATTACGGCAGTTTTAAGATTGGACCAGTTTATGGGATCAAGGAATAACTCTTTCAATATTGTTAGAATTTCTACATATTCTTCAGCAAAATACGCGTTGATTGCATTTTGAAACATTAAAATCGTCCAATTCGTTCAGAAGTTATGATGTTTTAAAGATTCACATGTAATTTCCGGGGTACATTTCTGGCCATACATTATATTTTCGTTTAGGAATTTTTTTGTCGACAGTGCGTATGGATTTCGAGGGTATGTCTGTTCACCAAAAATGATTGTAATTAACCCCTGCAACTAAAAATAATTTTTTTAGAACGATGTGAAACACATGAAATTTCAGGGGAATCATTCATTCATGATCAAACATTATATTTTCGGTAACGAATTTTTTTCTCGAGACTGGGTAGGATTTCGGGGGTGTGTGTATGCACCAAAAATGATTGTAATTGACCTCTGCAACCAAAAATAATTTTTTCAGAATGATTTGAAACACATGAAATTTCAGGGGAATCATTCATTCATGATCAGACATTATATTTTCGGTAACGAATTTTTTTCTCGAAACTGGATAGGATTTCGGGGGTGTGTGTATGCACCAAAAATGATTGTAATTGACCTCTGCAACCAAAAATAATTTTTTTAGAACGATGTGAAACACATGAAATTTCAGGGGAATCATTCATTCATGATCAAACATTATATTTTCGGTAACGAATTTTTTTCTCGAGACTGGGTAGGATTTCGGGGGTGTGTGTATGCACCAAAAATGATTGTAATTGACCTCTGCAACCAAAAATAATTTTTTCAGAATGATTTGAAATTTTTTAAATTAATTTTTTAATAACTTTTCAACGAAGTCTTAGTCAAGAAATTAATATTCTTGATTTTCATTTTATTTATGCCTCTAGAATCTCCCATTAAAATTTTTCCCAGCGGTGGCCGAACACCCCGTATACGTTCTATGAATTCCGGAAGCGAAGTGTAATGGTTTTATTAATGCTTCGCCATCATTTTATTCTTTTCCAAATGCTGCTATCTTTAGACTGAGTTTATCAGATCGAAAAAGGTTGCAAAAATTAACGATCGTAATAAATAAAGAATTTCAAAATTCAAGTTTAGGGCAAAATGAATTCTTACTGAACATCGTATAAATTGAACACCTTCCTTGAGTACTTTGACTTTTATTGAGTTTAATTGAGTATTAAATAAGTTTTTACGTTAGTATAAAAAACTCACTTGATACCGCGTGTTATAATAAACAATTATCCCACATTACTAAACAAAAGTGATTTACATATCGTCTTGACAATCACGTTTTATTGAAATATGAAAAGAAATATTGGAAATTCTGTTTAAAAAATAGATGGTCCTTATATATGAAGAAAAAAGTAGAATATGAAGGAAAAGATTACTCTATATCGCACTAAGAAACGTACGATTTGTGTTTGCAACACATTTTGGTACAGTAAATACTTTTCAAATTATTTGATATCGTCACGTTACGAGACTCACTCTGTATATAGAATATAGTACTACATGGTAAAGTAAGAAACTAGTGAATGACCGGTTCTGAGCTAGAAAAGTAAGTCAATGGGTCAAAATATCTCTGTCTTGGGGATCTTAAATCGATACTTTGAAGTTCGAAAAAGTTTCAACATTTGGAACTCTGCAAACCAACTCTGGATTCCACCAACTTTGTAGAGACGTGTAAAAAGCTTACGAAAAGTCACGAAAACAATCAGGGAAGTTCATTGACTCTCGTTGGTCTCTCACTACCGTGTTTGAGAACTCGTTTCCATGCATGATTCATGAGGTTCAAAGCGTCCAGTAGTATAAATCTGAAACATTCCGATACCTCATTTCCGCAACATTAAACGGATTCCAGTGCAAACGCTAGATGGGGAAGCCCCGTAGAGTAAATAGAAAGAAGATGCGTAAAATTCACGCTGGAAGGTACAAATAGGGATGCTTTTTGAATGCAACCAAATTCTAGAATATTAGCTGTTTTATAATCAGCTGAAACGAGAGTGTTAAACATTGAACATTTTACATAAAAATTTTACATTAATATATTTGCTCTAATATAAATAGTTCACTCAAAATATTTAATTATTTTAAGGGAATGTTATCTTTCTTGAATCAGATATCGTTTAGGTTTGCGTACGAAATTTGTAAAATTTCGGATTGACAGTTTTCGATCTGAGAAACTCAGTCTAAAGATAGCAGCATTTGGAAAAGAATAAAATGATGTCGAAGCATTAATAAAACCATTACACTTCGCTTCCGGAATTCATAGAACGTATACGGGGTGTTCGGCCACCGCTGGGAAAAAATTTTAATGGGAGATTCTAGAGGCCAAAATAAAATGAAAGCCAAGTCCATTGGTGGAGGATTAACGATATCTCAATAATCATTAATTTTATATCATACGTGGTGTAACGCATTTTCACATAGAATTTGTTGCATTATTGAAATTGGAAATTGGGACAATGCAACATTTATTAAAAACATTTTTCCATGCAACTGATACTTCATGAATTATTTGATGTGACGTTACGAGGCTTACCCTGTATACTATATTATATGTAATATGTTTTTCAAATACAGAAATTTGTCAAATAATCTATAAAAATTTTCAATAGTTCCTTTGAAAAAGATACTGGAAAAAGAGTTTGAATAAATATCGCTCTATACGGAAAATTGTTTAAATAATAGTTGATTGAATATTTATATTGCACTGTTCTTTGCCAACATGACAGAGTAAAAGCATCGATGCATATCGATACGAAAGTATATTGATAACGATACACCCGATTAAATTCTCTGCGCTTTGTCGGTTCTGCCATAATGAAAAACAGAGTTATGGCACTTCTAGCTATGCTTTGATACCACTGAATGGATGCTGCACAGCTACGAAGGCGCGCGGCTGGGAATGAAATTACGTGTGAAATTCTGCCGCGGTTGGCCGAATTTTGCTGATGGTTTTTGCGAAATTCGCGCCGATTGTTTGCCTGTAGAAGATCGAGAGAGCTTCAGGATCGTGGTAGCTACTTTTGTACCATAACTTATAGGTCAGAAATTTGAGAATTTTTCTTTTCTCGAAAACGAGCACAACGACCTATGTTTTTAACGACGGCATTGTGTTCACCTGATTTTTTCCTACAGGATAGTCGAATTTTTGTCCTACGACGATCCTTGCCGCGCCGGAGCGATCGTTCGGAGTCGAGCGGATTTAAAAAATATATGTAACTTTAGTATTTAATTTATTTCAGCGAAAATAATATTGTCGATCAATCATTTCGATTGTACATGTTTCAAAAAATACATAAAAACGAACCGTCAATTTTTGTTGGTTTCGTAACACTTGGTAACGATGATGCGTATTCTTGTGCTCAACACTTTTTTAATACTGACATTTTTCAACTTTATTTTCCTTTGATAATCTGTTAGAATTCTAATAGTTTTTTTTACAATACAAAGGTAATGTTTAATGTTTCGACCTCTGTCTTAGGTCGTTAGAAATATATTTCTAAAGCATTTTCTATATTCAATACCCTATCAGCATTTAATAATAGGGGAGTAAAATATTATAAAATCAATTACAGCAAAAAGAAAATAATTTAAAATTGCTAGATGCAATTTTTATATTTTTTTCTTTTTGCACCAGTCGTTTCTAAATATAGTAGTTTTTACATATGATGTATAGGCAGTTAGATTAACCGACTAACATTACAGAGGTTAAAATATACGTGATAATACTTCATGAAGTTTTAATGGTTTTAGAATAAATATTACAAGATTTCTATTGCTTCTGTGTTGCAGTCTGCAGCCAATTCAGCAGAGGGGTCTTTTCCATGCTCGGCGCCGTGAGTCCGGATTCATTCGACACCCTCCATTCTTATAGCAACACGTTCCAGATGCCTTTCGTGACGCCCTGGTTCCCTGAGAAGGTAAATAGTACGCTTTCCCGCGCAGCTAAATAAAAACTTGTAATATCGTTCGAGGGAAAACATCGTTTATTTTTACCGCGACGCTTATAGATCTTCCTTTTTTCGCTTACCGGCCTTCGACGATTATGTTCATCATTTTTCCAACGCTCGCTAGCATCGCGGAAAATTAACAAGTTAATACAAATTACGTTTCATCGCGTTCTAACTAAATTTAGTACCGCAGTTCTATCACCATTCAGAGAAATTATGCAATTTGCAGTGAAAGTGAATTTAAAAAATTCATTCGTGTCATATACATATAACATATAACAAATAACGAATAAAAATATCGAATAACTTGTTATTCAGTACACGACGAATACATTTTTATTCGTTTGACCGTTTATTTTGATTCGAGCAACGTTGTTGGGTGAATAAACTTTTATTAGCGTAGTCATTCGTCATTGACGGGCATTGCATATGACCAGTAATTATTATCACAATAAGCAATTTGAATAAAAAAAAATGATCGTCGAGTAACTATCGACGTAACTATTTCATCGAAATTATACAGGGTGTTTGGCCACCCCCAGGAAAAATTTTAATGGGAAATTCTAGAGGCCAAAATAAGACGAAAATCAAGAATACCAATTAGTTTATGGAGGCTTCGTAACAAAGTTATTAGCGTTTAAAGTTCTGCCTGTAGAATGGCAATCTGCGTGCAGTTGCGTTTGCGCGGAAGGTTGCAGCATGCCAGTGCTAGTGGTTCTCACGCAGCATGAAAAATTCTACTTACCGACGTTATCGACAGCCTTAGATTTTTGTCCACTTATGGAAATGCGAACACCTTACGTTGAATAAGATTCAACTTGTCTTATAAAAATCCAGAAGGGCATATTAAAACTCGCCCGACGAGATTTTCACAGAGAAAGGGTGAATGCCAGTTCCAATACACAATGTTGTGAACAAAAATCACCCACACGCGATCATACACGCCCTACGATCGTCCACAGTGTCCGCAAGTGTCCACAAATAATTCTTTCAGGCACTAACCACTACGCAATTAAATAAACACGCACCGCGTTTATGATATTCGTGAGTGTCTATGTGTACGTGCACCACTATTGTCCTGAGTTACTTAGGAATAGAAATGTTCTTAAATTTTCAAATACACTTCAATTTAAAAATGTAAAAAGGAATTTAATAAGTATTCGCTGATTGTTTATATCAATGATTCCCCGAAATTTCATGCAAATCTTTAAAACATCATAACTCCTGAACGGATTGGAGGATTTTAATGTTTCAAAAGGCAAGTAACGCGTATTTTGGTGTAGAATATGTAGAAAGTCCAAAAATATTCGAAAATTTGTTCCTTATCCCCGCAAAATGGGAAAACCCCCATAAAAATGTTTCAATTTTCAAACGTCCATAACTCCTACAATAGTAAAGATCTTTGAATGAAATTTTTTTCTGAAGTAGTGCCCATGGGTACCTACGAAAAAGTATTAGATAACTTTTCTGTAGGGCGTCAAACAAAATTATGAAAAATGACAGAGGGGCCCTAAATTTTCCAGCAAAAAAAAAATTTCAAATCGTTCTGGAAAAATTATATTTAGTTACAGAGGTCAATTACAATCATTTTTGGTGAATAGACATAACCTCGAAATCCTATCCACTTTCGAGAAAAAAATTGGAGTAGGTGGACAAATTTGTCGACAAAATTAAACAATTTCAAATCGTTCTAAAAAATTATTTTTGGTTGCGGAGGTCAATTTGAATCAGTTTTGGTGAATAGACATATCCACGAAATCCTACGCATTTTCGAGAGAAAAATACGTGTAAGTAGACAAATTTTATTAATAATTTTTAACAATAATTTTGTTACTAACTTTTTAACAAAGCTTCAATCAACAAATTGACATTCTTGATGTTCGTCTTATTTTGGCTTGTAGAATCTCTCACTCAAATTTTTGATTGTAATGGGCAACACTTCGAACACCGCCTGAAATAAAATTTGTTTAAAAAATATCTCGGTAATAATTAGACTGCGGATTTTTATGCAAATTCATATATTTATTAATAAAATTAATAAAATAAGAGCTTCGTACAGGGTTCTTTCAACCCCTAAATACAATAATTCTTATCTTACTTGAGTTTTTGTTATATTTTTGCATATTAAATGCATTCTATAGTTTTTTGACAATCTAAATTTCCCATAAATGCATAAATATCCGCAGTCTAGTAATTATTCATTTGAAGTCCCACTTTGTGTAATACTTTTTTACGCAAAATTTGATGATTTATTCGAATTCGAAAAAAAATATTAAACATTCCATTTAAAAAACTGATGGTGACCCTAATATCTCAATAAAAAAATAAGGTAATAAAGAACAGATTAGAGCCCTGTACTGTACATCTTTTGGTCGAAACATTTTTTCGAACAACGAATACCTTACGAGTTATTTGAGGTCGTCATGTTAGGAGACTGACCCTCTTAACTGTAATCAATAGAAGACTCTAAAACATGATATGTGGTATTATCTCTAAAACTATTAGTAAGTGAAGAGCTGTCAAATATTGATCCGTTATATTAATCTATAGAACAGCCTTTCTTTATACGTTATTCAGCAGAAAACAATGTTTGAACTGCTGGTTTAAGAATAGTTTTGTACCCGAAATCTCATAGAGCCTTTTTCTCATTTGCAATAAAGGAACTTTAGTATCGGATTATCATTATACTGATAACTCAGACGTTGATCCTTCATGTTATTCAAAAACTGATTCTTTTTGGCGCATGAAAAAACTTAATAATTATATGCTAGCCTAAGTATTCCTTTGTTTGAATAGTTCCAGACAAAAAGACAAAATTTCAGGTTTTATCTATTTAAAAAAAAAGTTAAGAATCACTATATAACATGTTTTCATACAACTATAAATAACGACGATATTTAAGTATTCACATTTAATAAATTTAATAAATTTAATAAATTTAAAAACCCAAACAGGATACTTGTATTTCGGTTATTGAACAAGGTTTAATGCTTCATGGAACGCGTAAAACTCGAAGAAACGACACATTTCACGAAGTTTTTTCCGAAACCATTGCTTCCGTTCGTGTAAACCAAAATTGGCACTTTCTCGCGGAGGCTGCGCTGATAATTGGCGAGGATGGGTAGCTGCGCGCCACCGTAACGCAATCGCCACCCACGCCCCTCGCTGCCCAGTCAACGAATCCCATAAATACTTAAATATGTATGGTGTGTGTACAAACATATTACAATTTGAATTTCGAAATGAATCGAACCGGCCGAAAATTTATTCGCCGCGTTGAATTGCAACGGTTGCACATTTATCGGGCCGCGGTACCACTTGCAAAACTGATATCGTACGTCAATATTGGATGAATAGCACGCCCGTATATTTCGAATCAGACGTAGGTATGCGTTCGTGCGTCGTCGTGTTTCGATGTACATGCACGTAAGTACACGCGAGTATGCGACCAACGCGTAACGAACGTTCGTGTCGTTTAAATGCTAATCGCGCGGTAATGCTGATTCGAAGCCCCACCCTCCTCCCACCCTTTTTTTTCTTCATCGGTGGTCAATTACGGGTCGTCGAGAACGACCACTTATACAGGGTGTTCGGCCACCCCTGGGAAAAATTTACACGAGCGATTCTGCAGACCAAAATAAGGCGAAAATCAAGAATACCGATTTGTTGATTGAGGCTTCGTTAAAAAGTTGTTAGAGTTTAAAGTTCCGCCTGTGGAACGACAATCTCATTCAGAAAACTGTACGGCAGTCGATACGTCAGTTAGTAGAGTTTCTCACATTGAGTGAGAACCACTATCGCGTGCACGCAGCTGTTGACAGATTGCCGCTCTACAGGCAGAACTTTAAGCGACAATAGCTTTTTAACGAAGCCACAATCAACAAATTGATTGTAGGATTTCGGGTGTATGTGTATGTAATGATTGTAATTGACCTTTGTAACCAAAAATAATTTTTTCAGAATTATTTGAAATTTTTTAATTTAATTTTTTGTAATAACTTTATAACAAAGCCTTAGTCAAGAAATTGATATTCTTGATTTTCGTTTTATTTTGGCCTCCAAAATCTTCCATTAACCCCTTAACGCCCATATTTTTCGGATTGACCAAGAATGATCAGTTTTCTTTAGTGGATTTGATTCTAAGCCACATAAAAATTCGATTTTTGTTCATTACAATGTTGTATCTAGCGTATAACTTGAAGGAAAACAAATATTGTCGTCCCTTAAACCATCAAATTAAACAAATATCGTTTTTCGAAGCAGTCAGACTCGGGCATGAGCGTTAAGGGGTTAAAATTCTTCCCAGTGGGTGGTCGTACACCCTGCATATTTCCTTTTATATCGAAAGTTAACCAGAATTTGGTACCTTTTGTTCGGTATTTTGCAAAAGAATATAACGACGGTCAGATGACCGGTCGTGGTAAGCAAAACAGACTACATATTTTTCTCAAAAAACAAACAATAATAATAGAAGCGAATATTGAAAAAATTCATTGTACGAATACTATAAGAAAAATCGTGAAGTTAAATGGCGCTAAAATATCATTGTATGTTAGAAATTTGAAAAACTGTCATTATAGTAGTAGGTCTAGTGTTAATCCCATACAGAATTTAGATTAAGAAATTTCTGAATAATTGGTAATTCAAGTTAAGGGAGGAAACTCATGTAAAATGGTAAAACGAGAAGTGATATTTGAGAATTTTTTTATAGCACAAGGGTTTAATGAAACTTTTCGTCACTTTCAAGATAACTATAAGAAACAGTCGTGAAATTAAATGGTGCTAAAATAACATTGTATGTTAGAAATTCTAAACGAAATTTAAAAAACGGTCAATTGACCGCTTGTGGTAGGTTTAGTGTTAACAAACGTATGACCTGACGCTTTCAAGACAGGAAAGGGAGAAATTTACAGAACAGCCCAATATCGCGTTTCACGGGGATCGTTCGAACACGCTGTCATTCATACAAACGTCATAAATATTTACGATTAGATTTTCTCGATGGCAGTTCGCGATAGAAAAAGAAAAAGCAAGGCGCTAACGTTTTCTCGAGCGGTTAGATTTCGGGGTTGGAAAATTGCCGCGCGGCCGAATAAAATCTAAAAGTCGATGTTTCGTGTATGTGTACACACGTGTGACCACGTTATGTCCAGGTACTGGCGCCGTCCTCAGGTCTCCTGGATTACGCCATAAGCATGCGTCCGGATTATCATCGCGCCATCATCGACACTGTGCGATACTACGGCTGGAAGAAAATCATCTACCTCTACGACTCCCACGACGGTAAGTTCCCAACCCTCTGGCTTTCTCATGCATTTCTCATTTTACAGCGCAGCCCTGTAGGCTGCACCGTGATACAACAACCCTCCTCCTACCCTTCCTTCCTTCTTTCCTCGTATACGTGACGCTTCTATTTTTATTACGTCTGCCAAGGATCCGCCCTCTTGGTCTTCGGTACACTCCGTGTCCGTCGAAATTGTAATTGTGAAATGGTAATGCAAGTCCAGCAACGCCGTACCAACGACAAAAATCGCGGCCACGCTTTCTATTATTCAACGGTTCTTAAGCCTTTATATACCGCGTTGTTTCTGATTTCTGATAAACGATACAAGATCAAATTTCAAGCAATTTGAGCGAATTTTGTGTAAAATTTAAACCGTAATTTTGTGTTAATTTAAACATTTAGTAGTTTATTGTACCATTATGTATGACATCTTTTAAACGAAGCATACAAACTGCGAGAACTTAATCTAAGGGTTGAAAGAATTACAAATACAATGTATACGTATATGTAAATTAAACGGTTGAAAAAATACCATAATTTTTGTATCATACTTTATGTCAGTGTATTTTTTTTATATGATATGTCAAACTTTCTTCAACAAACCCGATGCTGTAAAATATTGTATCGAGTACCAAAGAATTATTTTATTCGAGCGTCCACAAATTCTTAGAACGCTTCAAAAAATTCGACGTCAATTTTCCTGTAACGAATATCTTTGTAACGCGAATATCACATCTAGATGTAGAAAAAAAACTGCGGTAAATATTACGACGATAGGTGTTCGCGTTTCACATAACGTAACCTCACCCCGTTGCCCGACCAAACTCGTGAAACACGCGCCCACTAACGAATCAACGGATAACGAAGCCAATTTCAGGAGCGCACGGCACATCAAATTTTCTGGTATATCCGTTTCAAACGGTTCAGCTTTGTAGCCAGTGGATAGCTGGGATAGTTTTCACATCGGCAACAAGTGTTCAGGATTTCCTGTACAAAAGGAACTTAATCGCCACATCAAAGAAACGGAAACATAAATAAATCTTCGATTTTTAAAATACCATGAGCCGTTTATTTTGAAAGTGGCCTAACTCCATTTTTCAGTTTTTTTCCGGTTACCATGGTTACATGTACAACTTCATGTTATTTATCAGTAAAGCATTTCAGGTTGCTTATATTCCGGGCAAATACGATAATTCTTGACACATAAGTTTTCAGAGTTAGTTCAATAATTGAACCGTGTAGTTTGAAAGTGGCCTAACTCCATTTATACTTAAATCAAGATATTTACTATTGATAATGTCGGAAGGCAGTGATGAAGGTAATTTTAATTAATTAGTATTTACAAGTTAACCTCAGTTTTTGGACAATTGCGTTAGTTGAATAACCAGTACGTTTAATTAATATAAAACTTAAAATTTAATATTAAATTTTAGAAATTATTTCACCCATGGGGAAGAACAGAACAAGACTATTTAGTTCAGATAGTGAAGAAGAAATAGTAACTAATGATTTAAAAAAAAATGGAAAGAGAAACAGAATTATAGAACAATATTCGTCTTCAGGGAATGAAGATACAAATAATAACGGAGAAAAGATTGATGAATCATACATCCAAAACGTAAGAAAGATTAAACGGAATTCAGGAAAAAGATATTGTACTTGAAAAAATTTTCGAAAACAAAGATTGCCGTTGTCGGAATGCTTGCACAAAAAATTACGATGAAGAAGAAAGAAAGAATATTTTTAAGAAGTTTTGGGGTTTGGGAGATTTTAACAAACAAAATGTATTGCTTTACGAAGCTGTCGAGCGCAAAATTGTGGAACGAAGACGTCCAACAAACGGAAAAGGTTCGCCAAGAAATTGGAGTTTAAAAGATATGTCAAATAAATTCAGTATTGTTTTTTTTCAATTTGAAGCATCTTAAATTATGTTGAATGGACTTGGGCACCTTCAAATTTTATAATGAATCTGGTTGTTAATTTTGAAAGTGGCCTAACTCCATTCTTGATAAGAAAACGCATATTATTCACTTAATAATTGCCAGTATTTTAATAGGAACTATAAATTTAACACCCTTAGATACACTTAAGCAGTATGACTCATTAGTATCCTTTTTTTAATTTTTAATTAAATTAAATTAATTTTTAAATTCATTGAAACGCAAACCCTTAAATATCTCGATTTGAAGATAAATGGACTTAGGCCACTTTCAAAATAAACAGCTCACATATTTTTTAAAGCGGTATCGATTCTTCATACGATTCACATTCATTCTCAAAGGTCCGATTTTAGACCAAATTAGTACGAAGATAGAATCGTTGATCGCTGAATGATAGCTGTGTATTTTTTAGTTAATTGTAGTCGATGATATTATAAACCCGAATGGACTTTCATAATTCATTTTTGAGCTAATAAAGAAGCATTTCTTCTTATAATTTTGTAGCTTTTTAAATTCAAAATTCATTTTGTTATCAGCTATGATGCTATAAAGTCAAATATGTGACGTTTAAAAAACTCAACGGGATCCCAATTTTGTATCGAATACAAAATTTCTAGGAAATTTGTACTATTACTGTCGGAGCAGACAACTAATTTATCGATAGATACGTATATACATACAGGGTGTTCAGCCACCCCTGGGAAAAATTTTGATGGGAGATTCTACAGGCCAAAATAAGACAAAGATCAAGGATAATGATTTGCTGATTGAGGCTTCGTTAAAAACTTATTAAAAAATTAAATAAAAAATTTGAGTAATTCTGAAAAAATTATTTTTAGTTGCGGGGCTCAATTACAATCATTTTTGGTGATTACACATACCCCCGAAATCCTACTCAGTTTCGAGAAAAAAATTCGTTACCGAAAATATAATGTCTGATCATGAACGAATGATTCCCCTGAAATTTCATGTGTTTCACATCGTTCTAAAAAAATTATTTTTAGTTGCAGGGGTTAATTACAATCATTTTTGGTGAACAGACATACCCTCGAAATCCATACGCACTTTCGACAAAAAAATTCTGCCCTGTGATTATATACTTATTTCAAAATAGGTGGAGATTCTATTTAACCAATCAAAACTATGTCCATCCCTCGTGGGCCAGTTCTCCCGACATTCTAAATCCCACCCACTGAGGGTTGTACGGTGGTGGGCGTCCACGGTCCCAAGGGGCAGGTAAGTGGGCCCAATGTAAGGTTTGAAACTAATTAAGTAGGGCTTAGTGGCTTTGGGGTATGTCAATAATGTGGGATTTATATAAAACTGCTTATTTAATAGTGCTTATGGCTAGGAACTAATTTAAAAGAAACTATTCGAGTTATTTCTACGTTTAATACAACTTACAACGACTTGCTACTGCAACTTTTGTCAACTTAATCTACCTTTTCCGGCCGAAACATCCCCTTTTAATCTTTTCTCCCGCCCCACCACTCAAGCTTCTTTGGGCACGTACATGACCAAATATGGTCATGTTGGCCTTCGCCTTGCGTTTCGCACCCCCCTGTTCGAGAGGACCTCGACCGCGTCACTGGGCCCGCTGAACCATGGGCTTTTCCCATCCCTTTCGGCCTACCAGTTGCTTTTTTTTATACTGTTCTCACTCCGCGCGAGTTCCTTATGTTTTCGATACCACAATAAGGTACATTGCCAGATTACCAAATCAAGTAATTTGAACTAAATGATGTGTCCGCTAATAAAATGTTGGAATTCCTAACTCCTAACCTGCACAGTCCATTAAACGATCTTTTTTGCATTCTCGAAGAGTTGCCACTCTGGAATAATCAATACTCCACTCCATTGTGAGATATATTAACAATACGGCCTTTGCTAGGTTATAAATATTTTAAGTGTTATGAAGTCACTGGTCTTTTCACTACCGCAATTTAATTAACGCACAGTGGCCCGACGGTTATTGACATTAATCTGCGTGTGTATACTTGGCGTTATGCGATTCCCGCTGTCCTTGCAAGCGTTTCGCATTCCCATGAACCGGATATTCAATCTGTCCATTATTCCCTCTTTCACCGTCGATAGCATAATTGAATCGTTATTTATTGGATTATTGTTATCACTGTTATTGGCTCGTACGCATTCTATAGATTTCAGAATGCCGCGTTCGACAATCGATTCAATACCACATTTTAATTAACTTTCCAGCGAGTACGTACGAGCGAAAGAAAAGGTTAAAAATAGACGAATATTGGAAAGTTACCGAAAGCGAAACATTCATTTACAACGTAATTTTGTGGTAGGAAATATAAAATTCATTGCCATATGTCCGAAAAGCGACGGAAATGTTGTGAAAAATACAATTAAATGCAAGAATATAATCGCTGTTATAACTTATTTACTGTCAATTTGTCGAATTCGATAACTTGTTTGTGCTAGAATCAAGTTACAAATACTAGTAGAGATTTTCACAAATGTAATATATTATCAATAGTTCGCTTCAAAATAACTAATATAAAGCCATAAACGTTATAATATGTATAAGTTCAAGCAATCGAATATACAAAGAAATGCTTCATTAGATAGAGTTATGAAATATTTGATATTATTTTTTATGAAGAAATAAATCTTTCAGCAAACATTCATCCTTATACCAATTATTATTTTATTTTTTTAAAGTTTGTACTTCCATAATTAAATTCAACTTTAGTAATATTTTAAAAAATATCACTGACCTATGAACTTTCAGGCAAAGTATTGTTCTTTAAATTTGACCAACGCAATGGTAAAAAAAAAATTGTCAAAACCGATCTAGGTCATAAATGAAACATGTGATGTGTGCTTGTTTATAACAGTATCAATTGAAAACGGCTGAGCAGAAAATTATGAAATTTTACGTTATTAAACAGGTTTTAATAAATGTCCCTCTTCGAAATTCCAATCAGTTTCTGAATAATTAATTAAAATGCTCAAAAACGCGTGTAAAATCTGACGAGTTCCCAGTGCGATTCTACATAATTATTCAATCAACTTGCCGTATCTGAAAAACA